ACAAAGAAAAATGGAGCATTGTTTGTGCAGCACATTCAGTCAAAGAATAGCACAAATACGAGATTCAGTTTGGAATCAGCTGTGTATGGACCTACTGTTTGTGCAAAGTATTGCATTTCGAAAAAGCCCAGTCATTTTATATTAATACTGGGATTCCTCCTTCTGCTCTCAACTTAGTTTTCCTCTCTGAACGAGGGTAAAAAAGCCTGTAAAAGGTCTCTCCGCCGTTTTGTTTTTGATCCTTTTGTTTCTACGAATTATGGACGTAAAACCTTTGTACTCCCTGGTCTTCAAAGTAAATTAAATCTGTTTTCAATATAAGAAAAGTGTGTCTCAAGTAGGCCTAAGTCTTTTGCTCACAATTGATTCGCACAATCTTTTTTTAGAGTTTTGATCTTTTCTAAGGAGGTCGGTGGATGTAAAGTATACTATAGTAACGAACTGCCTGGCATACCCATGGCCAGAATGTGAGCATCTATGATGGATGCAAAAGGCTCTGTGCTAATTCAAACCTTAACACGTGGATGCCCCATGGGTTACCTTGTTCACCGGTACGCTAGTAGTTACTGATTATTTGTGGTCATTTGAAATCTCATTAGTAGAAAATCCGCTGACAATAAGTTATATAGGCTCACATTGAAGGTCATCACCTAATTCACAACCAGATGGTTGTGAAATGGAGTAATCATAGGACACGCAAAAAACACTCATTCTATGCCGTCCATCTTTGAGTCTTTGAACTTTTCCCGTTCCCTACTTCTATCGTAAAAATTTGATTTTTGGAATATCCTGGAATTATCGGAATCTTAACCATAAGGCTGTTGATCCACTTTTGCATCTCCCTAGAAGATAATCACTGTTTAATCTAGTGTTTTCTCTTCATTTGGCACAATTTCCGGTAAAAAACAATAAACCCAATCTACATTCCTGTAGCTCTATGCGCAGTTACCCATTTCCCCTCTCAAACTATTGGTGAACGAAACTGTGACAGCTAAAACCGGTGGATGGCAAGTACGGGGTTCTTACAGCTGATGATTTTGGTTCTTCTCTTTAGAAATTCGTTGCACGATAAATGAGAATAAGAAACAGCATCCCTTTTGGATATGAAAATAGTGTGATGCTTCGGCGACGCATCAGCTATTAAGGTCATTTACTAATCGTGCTACAACGTGGACTGGCTTCATTTAGATGTTTATGAGATCTCGATGTAACATAGTGACTTTCTTCATCTCTCTCCATGGACTTGCGCTCTAGAGGAATTGCCTCTCAGAATTGCGGCTTAGACATAATGCGCACCGAACGCCCAAAAATTGGTTCCAGACATCTGCTTGGGGTGGACTGATTTTTCTTTCGCTCTTGCGGACCGCTGCTACTCACGGAGATAACCAGTTGTGATGGTATCAATTTTAATATGAAAACGTTTCTCCCGTTTCATGAAACGAAGGCTATTGTTTTAGGGCTTGTTTTTATCGATTGTACAGTGTGACTTGAATTTTAGTGATCGGTTTCTGCCATTTAGCTACTCACAGGTAAGGTTAACTTACATTTTAGGGATACGTTCTTGACGCACTTGCTTGACTGAGAATGATTTTTCTTACTATAGAGTTTTTCTAAGTAAAGGTGTGAGTCAACAGTTTGTTGATTCAGTAATCAACATTTTACTTTTGCAGTGACCCGCAAGTTACAGTCTATTTTCCATATCATACAACTTTTCAGAAATACTGCTTCGGATTTCGCTAGGGCAAGGTTGATTGTTATCATAAATTTAAACTGGAATTTACAGCTAAATAAAGATAAAAGTTTGCTCTTCTCAAGCGTTGCAATATTAACAAGAGATACATAAATAAGATTATGTAGAATGTGGCACTAAATAGCTATTCTGGAACAAAATCGTATCTGAAATGGTCAATTCTAACAGAGGTCCACCATACTATTTGATAGTGTTGGATTTCATCAGGTCCGACTGGCTTTTTCTGTGCTTAGACATAACACGCTTGAACACGGCATTAAGTAATTTAGCTTATTATTGGGATAGATTCCTAAATTACCCAGATGTAAGGACTAATTTAAGTGGGTAAAACCACCCAATCAGTCTGTATATGCCATTTATCTCTATTTGTTGCGCTGGATTTCACGAGGGTTCTTGCGTTTGGTCAATGGTTAATTCAACTTTTTCATTAAATATTTTATTTCAGTGAACTGGCTTTCTACTTTTCGCACCTTACAAGATGAAATCAAACCGGTGGTTTACAAGCATTTTGCCACAGCTGCTAAACAAACCAGTTGTCTGAAAAACATCAGCCAAATGATTATTTGTTTCTGTCTCCAGACTGAAACACTTTAATTACTCGAAACCCCTCAGTGTACTCTAAGCGGTCGAACAGCTACCTGAGAGTCTGTTCGAATTTTGATTAGTCCTTAAGGGATTTTATACCACAGCAGATAAAGCCTCACCTAAACAACTTCTAAGTCCAAACATATTTTCAAGGAAACTTCAGGCCAATGGGGATGAATGAGCCATAGAAACAGTCAAAAAGAAACACTCTCGATATATTGATATACTGTCAAACCAGTCACGTGAAATATATGCATTTGCATTCCTCATGGCAATAAGGCTTCTGTGAAATATGTATCACCTTGAAGTAGTTGTGCGGCTTTATTGTTGGACGTTCATTTGTTACCAGTGATCTCGATGAACAAAATTAAGGAAGTACCAATTCAAGCAATCATACTTTTACCATTAGATTGGTGCTATCTGCAAGCAATTTGTCATTTTCAAGATTGGCAAAACAGCTCGTTATTTTTTGCCCTCCATTTTGTTCAACGTAAGCGCTGACATTCTCAATACAGCGGCAAATGCCATGTTAACCCGATGCTTTGACTTGTGTAACATTCCTGGTCTTTACTGAGCAGCACCGATTAGGTTCATACCTGTAGGTGCTACGATAGATCCAGTGAACTGCTTTTAATGTGATCTTTTGAGCCTATTTGATAATGCATGTTTAAATAAAGCAAAAAATAACATTCACTCATGAGCCGCTATGCTCTTGTCATTTGAAAGTGATTCTAAACGTCAGATGAGGCTGCTTACCTGAGAGATTCTACTCCGTGACCACTTCATAATGAAAACAAGGTTAATTCGTCTTTGACCCTAAGATATACAAATTGTTTTGATATAACTGATAGGTTGGTAGTGTTGCGGCCTTTTTTCAAGGCGATAGCAGGGCGTGCGTGGCCGCCCCTCTACAAGTCTGCATTGGTCATGGTAACAAAAACCAAGACATGCACCTTTCCACTTTCTGTTTTTCAATATACGTTAAAAGCATGTCGATCAATATTCTTCTGTGGTTATTCTGATGCTGCCATACTTAGTTTACAATCGATATTTTGCAAGCTTACACTAGTCTTTGGGCAAGGTGATGTATATCCGTCCACTGGTTTTAGCAGAGTTCACTGCCACTCAGTGTCTTTGTGTGAGGAAGTAAGTTCAGCAATAATTCAAGAAATCAAATTCGTCTGTAACTTTCTTCCTATTTTTACTTATAAATACTATATTTCATGGTCCTTCACGATAATTTCTTGAACACTTTCTCAAGCAATCTCATGTTTCTTCATTGTATTCCTTAACAGTAAATTGACCGTTTCCCTGAAATACTTATGACAGCAGTGGAGTTTGTCTAACGGTTTTCCTAGAGCTTATGTGTGACATGGTTTCCACCTTTCCGTTTAAGGTCGTTTAATCTTCTGGCTCTCGGCTAAACGTCGAACGCGACCTCAGTTTGGCCGTCCGCGATTTCGAGCATAAGATTCTGGTAGTTATTATCAGCCACATATCCTTGACGATCTTATCGAAATCAATGGTTTCTCTTGCCGTATAACGTAAAGAGTGCGCGTTTTCTGTACAGGTAATACTGTAAAAATCCATGCCTAGAAAATATTGGCCATAAAAACAGAAGCGCCTCAGCATATTTCCGGTTTGTTGGAAAACAGCAGAAATACGTTGGTGGCTAAAAATAGGTACGGCACGTTTAAATGGTGAAGAAACTTTTACCGACTGATTCGAGCAAAAAATAGACTTGTAAAACCGGTAATATTAAAGCACTATTCTCAAGTTAACGATAACACTAAGGATTGTGTGCATGAGAGGATTAAATTAGGGCACCTAATATAGTTTATATTGTGTGGGAACCGTCTTCTCGTCGAACCTCATTTGTTTATTTGTGTAAAAAAAATAATGATATGCTTTACTGAGTTCTCCATATGGCAAGAAAGAAGCCACTAAAATGAATGGACGTCTACGTCTAGCGGCCACATTCGACGTTTTCAAAGCCGCTAGCGTTGACCGAGAGTTATGTGCTTTGCGAAAGTGGAAACCAAGGTTGCTAGCTCTCGCCAAAGACCCTACAAAAGATACTACTACTGACTTCAGGCAACTGACTAACTTACTTGCAGTACGAAGCTCCGCGTGCCATATATATTTTAGCAGATTTAAATAATGTTTTAAGAAAATGGACCAATTAGATGCTCGATTATTGGCACGGTTTCGCCTCCGTTGCAAGTGGCGTAACTTATCAAGAAGAAGTACTCTGATATCCTGAATAGTGGCTCAACCGTATCTTGTACAGCCAGAACGAAAATCTCTCACTCAATAAAAATTTTTTACTAGCTTCACTGGCTTCATTATCTGCTTAAATCCAAGCACTTCAAAGCCCGACTGAATCCGCCGCTAACGATGAATAAGTGTGCAAACAAGTGAATTTTTGACATACTTTGCTTAATCGGACGCACTGAAAAATAAAACTGATAGACTTCTCAAAACAACACATTCAGCTACGAAGTTGTGGTACAGTACCCCGCAATCTCTTCCTCGCTGAGTTATCGTATAACCCCATTACTGCATCTTTGAGATTCGAAATTCAGAAACCTTCAAACAGAATAAGATTTGCAACATTTGATCCACGAGTTCATTGTGGGAAATTTTTCACAACTTTGCTTTTCGTTCAGGGAGTTTCTTCGTCGGTGCCGTCTGCTTCGTTGCAGTCTTCGCCAGCCAACAGGCGTAAAGTGGCATTATCCTCCATCTTCTGCGAATATTCTCTCTCTAGCTCGAGAATTTGATCACGTAAGTCAGACCTTATGAAAAAATCTAAGAATAAATGACAAACAGCCCTTCCAATTTACCCGTAAAGTGTTTCCGTGGATCTTCTGGTTGCTTTACCAATAAATCTCTGCATGGTTGTTGTGAGCAGAACCGTAAACCACTTTCTTACCTCAAAAAAGCTGAAATCATGAACTGAATTTCTGGATGCTCGCGGAGGTATTTCTCATTATTAATCCGTGTTTCAGTCTGAAAGAGACTATGTTAATAAAGACTTTCTGCGTACCTTTAGTCTATTTGTAGCCGCCTGTTGATGGTTTTTCAAGGCTCCCAGTTTGCCAGGCCCTCCAAGGTCATAAGCCTCCATAGTCAATGGAGGATCATGTTTAGGTGGAGCTGACCCAGTATCCACAGCGGCCATATTAAATCGTCAAACCGTTGTTTAGCAAGTAACTGAAATACAATGGAAAATCTTGTAACACCATCAGAATGAACCAAATTTTACACCTTGTCATAGGTATGATTAGCGCCAAACTCGCGTGTAATTTCTTGCACAAAGTGACCTACTGAAATACCTCGAAATCGTACGGAATGCCCTTATTTAGCGCTTGTCGGTAGCAAGCTGCTTTGTCGACCCACGTATCCTAAAGTCAAGTGACTGAGTAAAATTATTAGATTAATCCACGTGGTCTGTGTTTGTACGCTTTTGTGTCAGAAGGCGTGTTGGCTAATGTGTAGGTCACCGTCTTTTTAAACTAAAAATAGCTGCTCCTCCAAGTCTCTTCTGGTCTCACGTTCATCCATGATGGCACCCGAGCTGTAAACCCGACGGTGAGCAAATATCTTGTGGTCTATCCAAAGGAAGAAATTCGGCGTCAACTCAAACCCATACAATGATTTCGTATATTTTTTCATTTCTGTTATGTGGACGCCCATCTTGTCCATTTTGCACACTTGTAGCTTTTTGCCGTAACTAAGAGCATTTCAATTCATACGGTATCCCAAAGCAGAGTTTACCCGCCAGGTTGGAGATATAGAATAATTTGGAGATGATTATATAGTAAAATTTTGGTACCGCTGAAACAGGATTTCATTCAAACCTTCTGTTTGCTTAACAGTAGCGTGCTAATAAGCAAAAAACTTTTGTTTAGTTAATTCGGGTTCTTTTTGGATAGATCTCTAACTAGCAGTGGTAAGCTTTGTTCGAATTAAAGCTATATTGTGTTTATTTACCCTTCAGGACACATGGACTTACTACTTTCCGAACCGTTTACGTGAGGTGGTGAGCCTCCCTTATCTGGTTACTTCTGTATACTTTAGACATCTGCCAGCTCAAGGTTTTATCCCATAAATTAAGAATAAATTGCCCGACTAGTGGCAATTTCGTAGATTGTTAGATTTGTCCAACGATGCTTCATGCAACGACGAGTTTTTAGGTACGTCCATTGTGTTTTGAATTTGCGTAATTTTTGGTGTGACGGAAAGATGATAGTGCCAGACTTCTGTGAGTTGCCTCTAAATTTGTTTCACACGCCACCGTTGACGGTTGGTTGTAAATATTTTGGCATTACTCTGATAGATTACCCGTCAGCGGTAGGTTCTTTGATTTGAATCCGAAAGTTGATGAGCTGATGTCAAAACTAAGGCATTCTTTGCTCTTGGTTTGTCTTGACATATGGCGACGTTGCGACGTAAATCATTTTGTATCCGGATGCTGGCCGTGGGTATCGTACACAAAATATGCATTGATAAGAATAATTTGTCCTGGGACAATAATAAGAAACAAAATTAAAGGGTGTGCCATATCGGTTGATTGGTTTAAATGTGATTAAGTATAATGCATTCAACGTGCTCACTGAATTAACTTAATTACTGTACCTGATTCCATAGGCTCAGACACCCAGAAGAGGCATATTCTAAGTTTTCTTCGACCCCCAGAACTTCTGTTCTAATACGATACTACTTCAGACTATCTGCACTTTGTTCGTATACGGATATATTGTTTCAAATCTTCTGTCGAATATCACTAGTACCACAAATTTCAGCTTTACATTTTTGCGAATTGTGATGTGTTCAAGAGCAGGAGTTTAGTGGAAAATGTAACGTTAGGTTGGTCTATGTGCACCGTAACACTGCTTTCAAGTTTTGCTCCAGTTACACTTCATATTTGCCTAAGGTGTAACGTTTCCTAAAAATATAATCCACGGCAACCCACACGGTTTCTACATGCATGTGATGCCAGTGCTATTGACACAAATTAGTGACGTCTAAAAGGCCATCCAGCGACATGAAAACAGTAGGGAATTATGTATGCGCCCGTCAGAGTTTTTCTTAGGTTTGTCCTTCATTTGCGGCGCTGGTAACTACAATGCCGTGACCTTGCAAGGTCATATGCTTCAGGGCTTTTCTGAAATGTGATTCACGGATTCACGGATTCACGGATTCACGGATTGATACACAGGATCGAGGCTTTTGCCCAAGTTTCCCGGGTCAGTTTTGTTCTTGTCGGTCAGTGGCTGTCGTTCACCTGAAAGGCACAAGTGAA